CACCGGCGAACGCGTCACCGGCACCGTTGGTGTCGTTGATCTGCTCCTCTTTGATGGCGTGTACGGAGAACTCCTTGACGTCAGCGTCACCGCCCTCCTTTGCGGTCACGGCAATGGTTGGGTCGGTGCCTTGGGTGAAGACAACAGTCCTGGGTCGCTTGCTGTTCTGCTTGGGTGTGTTGGCAAGCTTCTTAGCAATCTCCTTGACGTCCTTGGTCTCCCAGCCATGTGCCTCGGCGAATGCGGCGGCCTCGGTCTCGTTGCCGATGACGATGTCGACGTAGGGCAGGACCTCGTCGAGAGGGTCCTTGAAGAATTGCGAGATGAAGGGCGCGGAAAGGTTGAGGATGAATTGCTGGAAAGCTGTTAGCGCACTGCCGTTTTCTTAACACATGCAAGATCTTCTTACCTTGTCCTTAGCAGCAGCCTCTTCAGCCAGGGCCTTGACGGCTGGTACGCAGACGGTCAAGTGGAAGCCACCAACGTAGTAGACCTTGGCGTTCTCGACCTGCTTCCAGATGCGCTCCTCCTTCAAGTGGTCGATCTTGTAGTTGTTGGCAGCGGCAAGGTCGGTGCACATGGAGCGGTTGTGGCCGGTGATGACAACACCGCAGCGACCAGTGGGAGTCTTCTCATCGTAGAGGTACTCGGTCTTGACGCCAGCATCGGCAGAGATCTTCTCGAGAGTCTCGCCGTACTTGTCCTTGCCGATGCAACCAACGTATACGACCGACTTGGGCTCGAGGATGTAAGCCGCACCACGGGCAGTGTTCTGGGCGGCACCACCAGCGATCAGGACGGCGTTGTAGTTTTGGAGCAGGTCCTCGTACAGGCCCATGTGCTTCTCGGGGTCGGCGAGGATCGCATCGTTGGCCTTCAAGCCATACTTGTCGAGAAGAGCCTGGTCACTGCTAGCCGTTAGCAAAAGCTCACTTTGGTGCTCCTCCGCACTTGCTGCAAAGCATTGCGACTCTAGTCAAAGGACGATAGACTTACCCGACACCCTGGATGTCCAGAAGCGGGTTCTCAAGGCAGAATAGTTCGTAGTTTCCAGGCATTGTGTTTGTTGTGTGTGTGTGTGTAATAACAGACGTTGGTGTCGTAATGGAGTGAAAGTGCTGAATGTGGGGCAGGGTTTCGGACAGCGAGGGGCAGCAAGCTTCGCGCTAACAATTGCACCGACACGTAAAGTCCCGAATCGAGCAAGGTAAGTGCAGCCGAGTGGAGCATCTTGTCGTGTATACGAGGAAAGGCATCATGTAGAAACATGGCTTAACATCACAGCAACTATGGCGCCTGTGGTCATACGCATAACTCCTTGTTAAATCTATAAAGTAAAGTAGAGCTTCCAGACCAGGCATGGACCATTGAGACTCGACTCCTCTCCGATCCAGAAGCTCAAAGCCTTTGGTCATCTGGAAGATGAGTCGTTTCTCAAGCCAGACCATAGCCTGGCTGATCCGCATGACCAACCCATGCAATAACGCAATAATTTCAGTCTGTAAAGCAAATCGCCCCATCTCACTACCTTCTCTTGATCTTCGATGGTGCTCTGGACAAGTCATGGCATGCAAGCGAAGCATGATAGGAGCACACATGCCGCATGCGGAAGAGCACCCACACTCACTTGGTTGGAAGGTTCGATCATAATCCATCCAACGGAGCTCTTCAACTCCGACACGACAGTCTTGTAGTAACCAGGTTGGTAGTCTGGCGAACCGTATGTCTAGCGACGGTAACGACTGATGATAAGACAGCATTAAGCAGCCTGCTACGGCTGCGCTGGCATTGGATCAGCCGCCTTGGCCGTTGGGAGGAGTGCGCCCCCAGGAGCTCTCGGCATTGCCCCGGTAGGAGCTGAACAGAAGCGGGCTCGCCATGTTTGCTCCATTTGCGTATCCGTACTGGTGATTGTTGTTCAAGTCGCTGCCATATGGCGATCCCCAGTTCGAGGGGCTGCTGACGTGATTTCGCCATGCAGCGCCACTGCCGATACCACTGGGAGCTCTAGTAGCCGTAGGAGTACCAGCCTCGACGCTCAAAAGCGAGTTCGCTGAATCCCCTCGCACATGACCAGACATCCGGGGTTTATCGTTCATCGAAGGTCGACGGAGATCGTTGCCAAGGCCGTTGGTGTTTAGCATAGAGGGAGACGCCGGACCGGGCGTGCGATTCCAGATGGAGTTGGAGTTCCACTGACCATCTGGCACAGAAGGTAGATTCGGTGGCTGACGGATGGAAGACGTAGAACCCGACCTACCCATCGGCGTGGAGAGCATTGCAGGCATGGGAGCAGGGGACAGAGGCTTGTAGTTCCTAACCGAGTTGACCAAGTCGTTGATCGACAATGCTCCAGGCACAAACGTATTGTCATTGACAACGGCCGTGTCGTCGAATGTCTGCTCTGGTGGCGTAGGTGGGATATTCTCGTCTTCTTCAACCAAAGGGTCCAGTCCGGTCTCGTCGCCTACTAGGTCGTCCACCATGTTGCGCATCGCATTGTCCTTAGCAAGCGTAGTGGATGCAGATTCTGAAGCTGCCGCAACAGAGTGTGACTTCTGGTCGTCTGGAATAGGCGCCTCTGTGTGTTTGAACAGAGGTATATCGGTGGCCTGAACTGAAAGAACAGGAGATCCATCAGGCCGGGTCGTTGGGCTCGCCAGAAGCTCCGATGGCAGTCCTTCTTCTCGGTAGATGAATCGCGGGCCCGCCAAGTCCAGTGGTGCATCGTCAATCTGCGTGAGGAGTAGACCATCGATCAGCAAATCCTTCACTCGCATGAGCATCTCGACGTTGGGATGGTTGCGCTCCAGCTCAGTCCACTTCTGCTTCATTACATCCCCCTTATACCAGAGCTTCATGGTATCCGGGGAAATGAGCGGCTCAAAACCAATCGTATCCGTATCCTCCTCCAACATGTAGTCTTCTTGGGGGAGTTGGTCGACGGGAAAGCTCGAGGCCAAAAGAGACAGGGTAGCAGCGTAGGCTTTCCAGAGCTCTTGGACGTCGACAGGGTTCAAGGTATCGGCGATATTGGCGTTGAGTACCTTCCAGTAGCGCGTGAACCAGGTGCTGTATAGACGAAGTCCTGGGAGGATGCGGCGTGCCACAGCTGTAATCTTGTCGGATAGATGGGCCGCGCGGTCGCCATTCTGGTGCTTCACATCGTTGCCCTCGGAAAGGCGGTCCAACTCCGGCTGCAGGACTTGTAGTAGGATGAAGAATGTCTTGACATTCAGACGAAGGTAGTAGAAATAGGTGCGCATAATGTTCGGGGGTGGGTTTTCGCCTGTTACGATTAGCCAAGTTAGCGTGTGAAGGGTGGACAACTTACTCTGCAACTGCACCGTCGCAAAGTATTCGGCTGACATGTTGATCAGTATGATCTTGGTCAAAATGGAGTCCAACGGGCGCTCTTTGAGCTCGATAGCCAAGTGGCTGAGCACCTCGCCCTCCAGCTCATCATGCGCCGCGAATTCCTCGCCCTTGTAGAGCTTGCTGTGCAGTCTGATGAACCAAGCAATCAAAGCCCGACCGGTGTTACCGTCGGCTGACTTGTGGTTGTTGATGAGCTGCCCATTGTCCCACGCAGTTATAACGCGCTTGAACTTGGTCGCGAGGTTCGCCTTGGCCGACGGGTACGGCTCTTTGCTTGCTAGCGAGCGGTAGAGGTGGTATACGCAGCGGAAGTGATCGCCGTCCTCGCGGGCGATTACTGCGAGTTGATTCGGCGCATGTCCGGAATCTGGGTATATCTCAGCGGCTAGGTCGTAGTAGCCTTTGGCTGGGCCCCAATTGCGGTCCTTGTTCTTCTCGACGAGTTCGGTTTCGCGGTAGCGGGAAAGGTCGCCGAGCTGGATGAGCGTCTGGTGACAAGAGATGAGGACCTGCGTTTTCAAGTTCGCGGCGATGCGCTGGCGCGGGGAGGACTTGGAGGCTGCTCTCTTATCAGCAAAGTCGCGTTGCGCGCGCCGGGCGTGCTTACTATCATCCTTCCATTTCTGGGCGATTTTGCGCAGCTCTGGGATGCCGTCGAACTGAGTGTCGAGGTTCAGTATGTATTGGCGGTAGAAGCGCTGGCTGGCCTTGATAAACTGTAGATAGGTCTTTTGGAACTTGCGGATCTCGACAACATGGTCCTTGGATCGCTTGAGCTGCCGGGTGTTAGCGATGCCTCTCGTGCTTTCTCGCGTGGTGACGCACCAGCTTATGTTCCTGCCTGAATTTGGTGTTGACCTTCAGATGCGCATTCCACAGCGTCGTCTGGAGTTCGCGGGCGGATGCGTATTCGAAGTTGGAGAAGATAAGGGCCTCGCAGGCAGCGCGGTACCTGTCGGACATTAGTCGTCGCCGGTGTGTAGTGGCAACGATGCCTACTCTTGCAGCACCGCAGCTAACTCGGCGCACGGAGAGCCGCCATCAGCGCGCTTATACAGGTCCTTCTCGATCGCCTTCGCCCGTCTATACTTTTATTAGCACCCGGCCGACATCACGGGAATGACGCAATGGCGCACCTGTCGAGTTGTTCGGTGTTGGCGGCCATGCCTTCTATGTGCAGGAGCCGGCGACGTTCATATGTGACCCCACGGTCGGCGGGCAGGTCAGACGAAGGCACGGAGCAGGCGGCGGACGTTGTGGCTGGCGTGCTCCATTTATGGTGAGGGGGTATGCCCTGCGTAAAGGACAGAAGCGAGCGGGAGGGTCTCGGAGGCAAACAGCGCCCAAGACGCGGAGCTATGGCGTCAGAGTCGGAGGCGATGGCCGTGGTGAGAGGTGTGAGAAAGTGAGGTTGGTGGATGAGTCGCGAGAACTAGCGGGCGCAGCAGTCTCGGAGCTAAGGTACCACGTCCCGGCCTGGCTGGCTACCAACCCTCTCTCTTTCACCGCACAGCCAACACCCAAGTGAAACAGCCCTGCGAGACGGCACTCTCCCCGGTAAAAGGTACTGCCCCTTTCATCTACGCCTCGTCACAGTCACAATCAACCCCAATCAACATACAATGGGGATCAAGCGCTCACACCGCGATTCCTCGTCATCAGACAGCACACCCTACTCGCGTGAGACATCGGCCGACGTCAAGATTGTCCACTTAGATACCGAATCTGCCGTCTCTGACGAACCCACCATCATGAAGTGCTCACTGCCTCCGCACGAACCGCTTGCGTTCAACTCCATTGAAGACCACGATGTGCACTACCAGCAAGTTCACATGAACCGATGCAGCGAATGCCACAAGAACTTTCCGGATCAGCACTTTCTACATCTGCATATTGCAGAATATCATGATCCTATCAATGCTGCCAAGCGAGACCAGGGAGAGAAAACGGTAGGTCATTTCCTTACGTTGTTTGTCACGTGTTTGCTCCTTCCCTTTCTGGATCTCCCGAGTGGTTCTTTCCTCTTGACAGGATTGCCCATCCATTTGGAGTAAGACTGGTGAGGTATGCGGAGTACGAGCGCCTTCACAAGGACACTGTAGCTGATAGCTCGCAGTATGCATGTCTTTTACCTGACTGCGATCGCTTGTGCAGCACACCACAGAAGCGCCGCCTCCACTGCATTGATAAGCACCAGTTCCCTCGCGAGTACGACTTCATCGTTGTGAAGGACGGCATTGATCGCCGAAGCAGCATGCTAATACCCTCTCACCGACGAAGAAGCTCGACAATGAGTTCGGCGAATGGCGCTGCTGGTTCTCCAAGGAGGCGGAGAGGTGAGTCCAGCGCAAGCACTGGTGACACTATGGAGATAGATCACGAAGAAGCTCAGGAAGAAGGAGAAACGCGTCGCTACCCCACCAGACTTCGCGGGCGTGGAGGATTCGGAGGCCGCGGACTCGCACGAGAAGACGCAGCAGGTATCACTGCCTCAAAGACAGCCACTACTGCTCAGCCGGTCGATTCCATGGACAGCCTAACTTCTAGCATGTCTGCACTGAAGTTTGTTCCTCACAGTGTCCGGGTAGCGCGTACAAAGGGTAGAGGAGGCGGCACTTGAAGATACCATGCCTTCGAACGAAAGAGAAGAGTTCGGCTGATTCTTTCGTCTTTTCTTCTGCACTTCCGTGATCGTTCTTTCTGTTGCATTTCTCGTCAAGTCATGTTGCCTTGCGTTCCTTCCACAAATGTCGGTTGCCACGTGGTAGTGGTTACAACAACATTTCACTTGACGCCATCCTCATTACAACACCATTGGTCTTCCTCGGCGATCCTGCATTGCTATCGCTCGAGATAGCAAGGTATGTATACGACTTTAAGAGGACCAAACTACAGGCTAACATCGTCGCTGGCCGGGTCTCCTTCTTCCGTAATGCGCTTGTCGACACAGCAATGGTGTACATTGTCTGGTTGCACTACGCTTTGCGAATCCTCCTACTCTTTTTCGATCATCTGAAGTCACTCGGGCTGGTAACGGTGGAGCTTGCAGCCGCCTGTTGTCATGTTTTCCTGATACGCGTGATCCTCACCCGACCACAACAACCGCCCCACCACCGCTTGCGCGCAATCGTCATATGCGTCCGAACCCTCTCCAGACTCATAGCCATTATGAAGCCGTCGAATATCGCTCGCTGTGCGATCGCAAACGAATACCTGCGCCGAAGAAAACAGCCATCTTGTGACGCTGCCAATCGCACTCGCCGGGAGCACCAAGTCGAACTCTTAAGCACCGCCATTGAACAAACGCCAGACAAGCAAACAACGGAGGCGCAAGCTCAGCCAGCGTTGAATCATGTACAATCCCTCGTCACATCGACTGCGAACGAGATATGCGACAAAGTCGCAGTCGGCGTCAGGACCATCGCTTTGGATAAGATTAGTACAGCACCTAGTAAGTCCCGGTCGGATGCAGAGTAGATGCGGTCTATGATACCAAAGCTTACACAAAATTTCGATAGGACATCTTCGCAAGCCGGGCGTTTGGAGGCCAATGTCAACGAGCGAACGCACTGGCAGTGCCGTTCTGGTGGCTTTGCAACCCAACGCAGACAGAGGCGCGGTGGCTACAGGAGCAAACGCTACACAACACCCATGTGCTGGCGGATTCGGCTTGCCTGCACGCGACACTGTCACAAAGGCGTGGCAAGGGACGACCGACCACGAGTACCAGATTTTCACCACTTTCTGCTTCCCTGCCATGGGTGCATCCGCCCCACGATCTCATCCTCCGACGCCGCATCCTGAAGAGGCCATTGACACAGCATCCCCGACCTCAGATACAACCTTGTTCGAAGACGCGCCTGTATGCACACCCAGCCAGCTAGGATGCGATGAAGACATCAGTGCGTACATAGCTTGTAACGACGCATCGATGGAAGGAGTGTCAATCACCTGGACTCCCCAAATGGCAGAGCACGGAATCGATCCTGTCGCTAAACGCCCTCTTCGGCATCGTCGATACGTCTCTTCTCAATCAAGCTTCGATGATACTGGAACGCCTCAAATCCCGCTTCGGTCAAGATCAAGGACGCACGATGGACTGATGTTGTTTAAGGCAAATTCTTCCAAGGAAACCACAGATAACGCCCCGGGAATAAGCCACCGTCGGAAGGTCTCTCTGAACCTTCCAGTCAACACACACGCAAGCCAGGCCAGCGCCACCCAGCCATTTGGAAAGCCCGATGTCAAAATTTGTACAAAGCGAACATCTGGCATGGAGACCGCTTACTATACCACCCGCGTAGACGCATTGACTCCAGAAGAACGGGATCTAGAGTACAGGCACCGGCATACATTCATAGGAACTGGCTCGCTAGACGACTTCCTAGAAACACTGGAAACTACACCAAACCATACCGCTACCAAAGATGCGATTGCTCGGGCATTCGTACAACTGGCAGCATCAGAGCAGCTCTACGCTCGACAATGTTCTGCTGGTCAGGGGTGGGATCTAGTTATGCGAACAACACTGAGCCTCATGGACGTTACTAGCGTCGATTACATTGTCCAGTCGCAAGTCAAGCTGGGCTCCATTACGCTACGGCAATTCCTGGACTTGATACCTTTCGATGAAGTCGATGAGGTGGCGGCATTACGTATCGTAGAAGCGTTCTCTATTGCTAGCCATCTGGATGCGACGGCATGTATAGGCGCACGAAGTAAGGCACGAGCTTTCCGGAAGTGGATGGTCAACCAAAAGAGGGTGGACGCAGATTGTTGAGGATAACAGCGATGAAGTACGCGCGCTTCCCCCTACTATACCCAGTCAACTTTCCTAGCATCAACACTCTAATGTCACCGACGTATCTTCCTATGTCCGCTCCTGTACTATTGCTTTTCGGAGAGTTTACGATCAGAACAGTGAAGCAGATACAGTTCCTTGTTTCATTGAGTGTCTCTCCTTCCCTTCTGGGCAGTATTTCAAGGCACGTGTCTTCCCTACACCCACTCCGGCCTTGGCGCCTACGCTTCTTGGCCTTCTTTTTGATATCATCTCTTGACCTTCTTCCCTGAGTTGATCTTACACCTTCTTCGCGCTCTCAAAACGTCACTAGGCTCGCTCTTGCCCACTCATTCCAGAACCTCACGGCTTCCCCCATCGCGCCAAGGCAGGACTCCTTCCAGTCCGGACTTTCACCGAAGGTCCGTGCTCCGCCTTACTATCCCCACTCGATACAGTCTCCAGCCGCTTGCACTACACTCTCTACTCACACGCAATACACCGGAGGTAATCGATCCGTTCGCCACATAATTGTTACATACTCACGCGAATCATCGATAGCTACTACGATGTCGAGCCGCCCACTACCGTCGCCAAGCGTTCTGCTAGGAGAAGTCAAGGCCACTGTCTTGCGCAAGTACAAGAAGAGCGCCTCAGTCTTTCTAGAGAACGCCGCTCTTGATATGATGCTTACCGAACATCCCGGTGACATTCAGCGCTACGCCGGGTTCTACAAAATGGTCTACCTCTTCCTCGACCCCTCTCACTGCCAAGAGTCAAATCGACCATTTGCGAACCCCCTTCTCACCAAGGACTCGACGAATCGTTTCATTTGGGATAAGATGGAGTATGACTGCGCCGATTACCTCGTAGACGATGACGATGATCACCTTGAATCGATCGAGGCTGCAGCAGTTCGACCTATTGAAGGGTCCATCGGCGCACCCATCATTGTCGCTACGGAACAGGTGGCCGCTATCTCGAAGAAGACGCAGAAGAAGACGTCTGCCATCCATCCTGGAGAAAACATCAAGACGCGGCTTCGGCGCGTATATAACGACCGCCAGGAAGCAAAGAAGTTGGACAGCTGGCTGGCGTTGAAGGCTACGGTCGAGGCGGCTGCGACACTCAACGTCCCTGCTCACGTTTCCACTACCCAGTGGCACTTCTGGAACGCCGCTTTCTTGGATATCCTTCCGTGGCTACCAGCGCCCGAGCGCGCTGCTCGCCTCCTGGCCTTGGAGAGTCGCGATGTCACTAACGAAACTTCTAAACCATGGTCTGGGATCTGGCAGACCTACCAGTACGTTCAACTCATCGACGAGATTGAAACAACTGGGTGGGACAAGACTCTGTGCGACTTGTCCGAAAACTATGAAGACTTCTCCGAGAAGTTGGTAGATCTCGACGTGGCCACGCGCATGGCTCTGGGTCTGCCGGTTGCACTGCCGCCAGTTCGCGAGGAGAACACATCGGTGCTTTCCGAGTTCACTGATTCCAAGCCATCAACTCCTCACACTCCGGTAGTCGACACTGGCGCTCATCGTCCCAAGCTCCTCCCAAAGTCGCAGACTATGCGGAAGAACTTCGGGTTGGCTTGCTTGGCTGAGAAGGTTACTGTAGCTCCTGAGGTCGCTGCACCGCCGGCACCTCCAATTCCTACTGATACCAATATCTTCGGTCTTCATACGGTAGTGCCACGGAAGGCACGTCCACCGTTCGGTGGCTTCATGTTTACTCCCTTGGTTTCGGAGACGGCCAGTGTCCATCCCACGTCCGTGCTACTACAGTCCGCTCCAAATTCACAGCTCCCCGATACACCTAGCTTCGACTTCGGCTTCGCTAAGAGCACCTTTGACGCACCAAACCCGGCGTGCGCTCCGAAATCCAATGGAGGCGCTGGCTTCGGAAGAGATTTCATACCTCACATGCCCAAGTCGTCTCCGGCTGAGCAGATTACACAGCTCGTTGCACCGATTGTCGAAAAGACAAAGTCTCTCTCCGTTGTGTTCGGTGCTCCAATGGTTGGACCTGACTCATCATCACCAGCGGAACTGAACCTTTTCGCCCACCTTGTCGAGCCGACTGCTGACTTGGACACTGGTGAAGAGAATGGAGATCAATGTAAGTGTAAGATTTTACCAGGTATCAAAGCGACTATGGGCCGAAGTTACGAGCCTGTTTTGGACACAATCGTCGAAGAGCCCGTCGAGCAGACTTCCGAAGAGCCCAAGAATGGCGACGAGAAGCGAAGTTTCGACAACGATTACGAAGACGACGACCACCTTAGCGGTTTAGTGGCCTCTTCATGTTGGCTAACAACGGAAGATGATTTCAATTACATGAGAGATGCAATGTCTCTCTTTCGTGAGAGCAAGTCGCGAACCTACACCGTTGGGGAGTTTGTAATTGATTACATCATCACACGAGGCCTAGATCTCCCGGCAGAAGAATTGGTTCCTACAGTCACTGAGTTCTTGAACACTCTACCCTTCGACCACAGATCTTTCGTTCAGACTCGAGATGAGAATGGGGTGGAAGCAGCTGCGAGCTTTGAGGAAGCATTAGAATTCTTCGAGCCACGTCTAATAGCTTTATCGACAGTGGTACATATAGATGGCGCCCCTCCTGCGACAGGCATATCTATGGCGCATCCAGAAGATGTCAAGGTTACTACTACTGTGCAGAGCGCGCCCATCATGGCAGTAGTACCCGAACGTCAAGCAATGTACGAGGATGACGAAAGCTACAACTACATCAACGGCTACGAATACCTGATCCAGATCGACTGCAGCGACCACGATTCACAAGCTGATGGTGGCGCCAATATCGACCGGCCAGATGCTCTCGACGAACTTATGCCAGACACCGGGGACAAGTCACCATCTTTTGAGTGTGGAGTCGGCATTGTGGATAGTGATTCCGCGTCCACTGCCACACTCACTCCCTCATTGACGCACTCGCCTACTTCAGAAGCCGAGCTTGCCATCGACAGCGAAATGGCAGAAGGGTACATGCTCGATGGATACGGCCGCCCACTCGAGCTGACCGGGATGCCTCAAAATGACAAGAAGTTCTTGGACGCGGTACATACGAAGATTGTCGCAGAAGATGACCAGTATGAGTTCGACTGGGCTGAGGTAGATTGCCTTCTGGGCCCTCAAGACGAGGAAGATGACGACGATGATTACGTTGTACCTACGGTCGATGAATTCGGGAAACCCATCAAGCTTGAACTGGCCATGGAGCCTCTAGAAGGCGACTGGGCTCAAGTTATTCTCGCGCAGGTCTTTCCAGACTTCAAGCAAGCCGAGGCTAAGCTTTCTGATGCCGCGCCGCAACTCGGGGTGGAAGTTGATCAGACCTCCTTTTCGAATATGTTCGACTTCGAATATATGTCCGAATCGCTCGGTATCCCGGAGAACACTTCCATTGCGGCAGCGAGGTTGCCCGCAATGCAATTAGTTGGCACTCTGATGCTCATTTCCATGCCCATCTTCGCCGACTACGATACGCTTCTGCATGGGCTGTGCCTACAGGCTGCAGCAGTTGGCAGTGATGCAGAAGATGAGAAGGCAGACTACCGTCTACTTAGTCCCGCCATACACGATGTGGCGTTCAAAGCTGTGTCTACCAAGGACCCAAGACCACAAAATGACATCGGAAGTAGCAATTCTGCTCATCGCAACTTGACCACGGCTCAGCCGCTGACGTTCAACCGGCATCACCCAGTCTACGACCTCCCGCGCTCTGACCTGGCCGTATATGATTGGCTCAAATCTCAACGACAAAGCAGCCTGACAAACATCAGCGCGAACGAACTGGGTGAGCCAGCACCGTTCGATGTGGCCAAACTTTGACGGTACACCCGCTTTTAAGGAGCGAGAAGAACGCATGATAGTCGGTTCATCGGTTTGATCATCGGTTTCTTCGCAACGATTTACGGCTTTCCTTTACCAATATGACAATGATTGACCCTTCCTGGTCAGACATCGATGCCGACAGTCACTTCTGAGCTCAAGCCAGACTGTCAAACTGCCGACGATTTGCCCGCCTTCGCTAAAGAGCTAAGGTAGAGAGTAAACGCCGCTCTGTTGGATCAAATATCCGCAGATGAGAAAACCATAGCGTCTGTCTGCGCCATAGAGCGAGCAGACACACAGCAAAACCCACATTACTAGCCAAAGAGCCAGATTATGGAGAACATCACTATGTATGCCTGAGCCAAAGAGCGAAGGCAAAAAACAAAGATGGTTCTGCCAGGCCAAAGGCTCGGTTGAAGAGAAGATCGATCTGTCTGTCTACACCAACCAGTGAGCAGGCACACAGCAAAATTGCACACGGACCAAAGATTCAGGCATGAAGGAGCAAGGTGCGCAGCCAGTGAAATTGCGAGGAGGACTTGTCGCTCAAAAACGCGAGATGATGGAGAGAATTAGGGCGGTCACGAAGATGGTCGTCTCGTCGAGATTCCTGCATCCACGAAGAAGGACAGCGTGGTATTTCCAGCGACGATTCGAGGAGATTTGAGGGTTGGTATGCGCATAAAGAGTCACGGCGAATTCGTGTCAATGGTGTTGGAGGCTGTTTTGAATTTCGCCGACGACATTTCGTTAGCACACGCGCACTCAATGTGCGCGCAGGAAGGTACGAGGATGTAGGAAACCTAATCGGGTCGCGAAACACCAAATCGGTGACTTGTAGAGCGGTGTGAGATGACGGGCAATCTGACCGTTAGTGAGGGCTTCCCCGCCATCCACAACGCTACTCTAGATCGCGCATGCTTCGAGCTGTCATCTCGACGATGCAAATCCTTGATTTCGAAAGAAATGCATCTTCTCTCGTATGCGGGTATGGCCGTTTCGGATACGCGGCTACACCAAGACCCTAGCAACACGCATCCCACCCGATCATCCGGACAGCGCAACTCCAATGACGAGTGGAGAAAAGCATCTGATCTTCCCCGCACCATCCTTGACGCAGGAACCGATGGCACTGCCTTGATCCAAGTGCAGCCACCCGGACGTCGCGGAAGACTTGCTGCTGTAGTGACGGCCTAAGTCCTCGGCGCCCAAGACATTTCCAAGCGCCGCCAATGCCATCTTCAAACTTGGCGACTTGCATTACGCACACCAGCCCCTATGTACAACGACAACCGGCCTCTGCGCGCAATCAATGATAGGGGAGGGCCTGAAGGGCCAGACTAGATGGCCAAGCCAATCGTGAGTTTCGTAGTCATTTTAACGAGTTTAAACGACCCAACCCTAGCCTCGTACCAACACCGAAGGATGACTACCAAGCGTTGCACTGTCGCCCAGCTACTGCTGCGGCTCAACGCCGTTACTTGGCTGACGGCCGAAGGGGTTTCATAACATCACGACTCGCCATCCTAGAATGTTCGTTCTCTCGTTTTCCCTCGCTTCCTCCACACCAACCTCAGGCTCCGCTTCACGTCGCTCGCTGTGTAGTGCCTCAGGCCCACTCGTTGATCCGCGCATGCCGAATACCCAACACCTTTCTTTCCAGTGATACCCCGGAGCTTCCGCCATGAGACCTTCGAACCTTGTTTTTGCAGCAGTCGGCCTGCTTTCCTCATTCGCCACTGCGCAGCTGGAGTTCAATGTTGACGATCCAGGTGCGCTCACTGCAACTGTTTTCGGACCCCACTAACATAAGCAGCCTCTATTAAGGATGCGACAAAAGTTGTTGCGGCGGGCTTAAGAGAATGGTATACTGGCGACAAACCCGGCGATGTACCTGGAAACTTGCCAGACCCATACTACTGGTGGCTATGCGGAGCCATGATGAACTCGTTCATCGACTACTGGTACTACACCGGCGACGACACATACAACAAGATTGTACAGCAAGCGATGGTGCACCAAATCGGTATCCCAAGAGCCTTTATGCCAGAGAACCAGACAAAAACACTAGGAAACGACGATCAGGCTTTCTGGGGAATGGCTGCCATGTCAGCAGCGGAAAACAAGCTTCCAGATGTCGAAGGAGAAATGTCGTGGTTATCACTCGCCATCGCCGTATTCAACACACAGGTACCGCGTTGGAATCCCGAAACATGCGGCGGTGGACTCAACTGGCAAATTTTCCGATTCAACCCCGGATTCGACTACAAGAACACAATCTCCAACGGATGCTTTTTCAACATCGCAGCAAGGCTGGCAAAATATACGGGCAACGAGACGTATGTTGAGTGGGCCGAGAAGGCATGGGATTGGCAGTACAGTGTTGGTCTCATCAGCACAGATTATCATTTCTTTGGTAAGGATGCTCTTGAATATGTCGGATGATATGAGTGCTAACATATACCTTCCCTAGATGGTACCAGCGAGAGACAAAACTGCACGGAAAAGAACCACATCCAATGGACCTACAACGCTGGAATCCACATGGCGGGTGCCGCAGCCTTGTGGAACATGTCAGAAGCGAAGGGTGATACGGTAAGACTCCTTGAACCTAATCTAACTCCACCCTCATTCTAACGCAATAAAGGAACGAGCAGGCAGATGGCGAGAGCGCCTGGGCGGTGTTATCAACGGTACCGACATCTTTTTCCAACAGCAAGGAGCCCCAGACGTCATGATCGAAATGGCCTGCGAACGCAACGGACTGTGCGACCACGATCAACGATCCTTCAAAGCCTACCTCGCCCGCTGGATGGGCTGGTCGATGCTAGCCGCTCCCTGGACCCGCGACCGCATCATGCCGAAACTTCGTGCCTCTGCCGTGGCAGCTGCGCAACAATGTGGCCCCGGAAAAGGTGGCTGTGGTCTAAGGTGGTGGCAAGGTGGAAACGACAAAGAGGTGGGCGTTGGAGAGCAAATGTCTGCATTAGAGGTCATGCAGAATTTGCTTGTTGATCAAGTTTCTGGTCCGGTTGGGCTTGATAATGGTGGAATCAGTGAGAACGATCCTACTGCAGGAAGTGATGTGGGACCTGTGCGTGTTGAGCATGACTCTATCACGACAGGGGACAAGGCCGGCGCTGCGATTCTCACTCTCATGGTGTTCGCGGTGTTCTTTGGTGGAGGCGCCTGGCTGATCATGAGCGAATAGTTTTATTTCTTAATTCAAAGCATTTCACACTTCATTGTATTGCGCGAACTGGGGCATTGATACTGAATGTGCACTCAACGCTTCATCACCGACTATCACCGACGAGAATCCGGAGTGGAGTGGTTCTACGCTTGCCAGCGACGCGTGATTTTGACTCAAGAAAGCTGTTTGACCTCAAACCTGCAGCACCACACGCGTGTATATTATGATCTGCAGGCATTTGTAATGCCATGTCTGCAATGTGTATACACTGTAACCTATGAGAGGGCGTCTCATGACATAAGCATGCAGATCATGTCCTGAATGAGGTAGGATAGCGACTTCCCAACTCGGAATTAGCGCGTGTATACCTAGGTAGCAGCTGCATCACCTCACGCCAGCTATCCAGCATTTGTAAGCTCTCCGGCTATACCTCCGACATCACAACGACAATATAAGGCTGCTACCAGAGCTGCCATTCTCAAACGGTCGTTCAGTACTCGCCTGGTCTTACAATCGCGATCGTGGACAGTGACCAATAGCAAACATGACGTCAGCTAAACCCTTCAGCACCGTACCAGCAGGCGCGCAACAACAGCCCACACCCTTCGAGCTGCATGTTGAGGAACAGAAGTTGCAAGACTTCAAGACTCTGCTCAAGCTGAGTCCGGTCGCGAAAGAGACGTATGAGAACAAGCAGAATGCGGGAAGCCACGGCCAGTTTGGGATCAGCCGGCAATGGATCATTGATGCGAAGAAGGAATGGATGGAGAAGTTTGACTGGTACGAAGGCGCGACAAAGATTTGAAAAGGAATGGTTGCATTGACACGTTACAGGCGCAAGGAAGAAGACCGCATCAACTCTCTCCCCAACTTCAAGGCCACCATCAATGACGATGGCGGTAGCAGCTACGACGTCCATTTCGCAGCATTGTTCTCCGACAAGCCAGACGCTATCCCAATCGCTTTCTTCCACGGATGGCCTGGCTCGTTCTTGGAGTTCCTACCCCTCATGGAAGTTTTGAGCAAGAAGTACACGCCAGATACCCTCCCTTACCACATCATCGTACCATCTCTCCCCGGCTTCGCTCTGTCCTCTGACCCGCCACTGGATCAAGACTGGAAGGTGGCGGACACATCCCGCATCATGCACAAGCTGCTTCTCTCCCTCGGATTTGGCGCATCAGGATACCTCGTCCAGGGTGGTGATATCGGCGCTTGGATCGCGCGGGAGCTGGCATCTACGTATCCTGAGTGCAAAGGCATGCATCTCAACTTCATGCACACGGTCGACATCAAGTCCTACTCTTCGCCTGAGGACGAGCTCAGTGCAGCGGAGAAGAAAGGTCTTGAGAGGATGAACGAGTTCATGGAAGTAGGCAAGGCCTATGCAGTTGAACACGGTACGAAGCCTTCCACCATTGGTCTCGTACTGTCCAGTTCCCCTATGGCGCAACTGGCGTGGATCGGTGAGAAGTTCATGGCATGGACTGATCCGTCCACCACGCCTTCCGTCAACACAATCTTGTCGGATATCACCCTGTATTGGTTTACTGGCTGCTACCCAACGTCAATCTACACGTACCGAGAGGGCAAGAAAGTCAAATATGTGGACAAGCCGACGGGTTACAGCTATTTCCCATATGAGCTTTCGCCTGTTCCGAAGGCCTGGGCGGCGAGGACAGCGAACCTGGCGTTCTTTAGGGCGCACGAGAAGGGCGGTCATTTTGCGGCATTGGAGAGGCCCGAGACGCTGTGGGCAGATGTCGAGGAGTGGGTCAAGATCGCTTGGAAATGAGTTGGTCGT